TAGTTAAGTTATGTTTTAAATCATTGTGCTTAAGTATTAAACCAAGGCCTAAGTTCCTCAAGCCTAAGTCATGTGTACCACCATCCCTATGCATTGCCGCGCTTACATTAGGTGCATCGGCCATGGCAATTACCGAGACTATGTTGTGGCTTAGCCCTTGCTTAATTAACTTAGTCCATGCTTATGTTATAGTGATTTCCGAGAGTTTATTACAAGTTAAGAAATTGTGCAAGTTGCATGTGAGTCACCTAGTTGCTTAAGAGTATGTGGCATGATATTAGCACATACATGATGACTAAGCCATTTGGTGCGCCACCTAGGAGGGATGACTAGGCGTGCACCATGCCACCAAGGCTTAAGTTTATGGAAAGTGGCGCCACATCATGAAGCCAAATTTTCATCTTCATCCATCTTTAACCTATTTAAATAAGTAGTAGCCGTGAGTAAATATTCACCTTGCAAAACCGAGTATAGTTAAGAGAGAAAAGAGAGTATAGCCAAGAGAAAGAAATAACCGAGAGTATAGAGTAAGAAGTGGAGAGGTTAGCTTGTGCATTAGCCATTGTTGAAAGGAAGCACGCGCACTACCTTGTGGCCGCGAGCAGAGCACGAAGTCTAGTCGTATTCCACGAGCAATCGAAGGGGTAAAATCATGATGACCCTCTTTTAGTACTTATGTGATCATTTTAGGAAGATCATGTGTAGATCATGTTGTTACGTTCGTTAGAAAATTGTCATGTTGCACTCGGAGGTGCCACAAAGGCCTTCTCGAGCCATTTCAATTTCTAACCGAGAACTCCCGAGCATTTTATGTATTTTCAGTCATTATATGTCATATTATGTTTTTTTTTATCGTTAAATAAATTTATATATCAAAGGCAATTTACATCAACTGTCTTACGGTATACAAGAGCTAAGTGGAGAAACACAATCCGGTCCCCCACTTGCTAATCAACATAAAGAGAGGAAAACCACACGCCGGTTGCTCAACTCAAACAAAACCGAGGCTACAAGGTCTTCACCGATTGCAAGTGTTCACGACCATAGCTTGAACTCGCGACGTACAGAGTTTTCGAGGGCTAGCTGGAGAGATTCGCGGGCAGTTGGATGATGGACTCGCGGGGTAGCATCTAGATTCGCAGGGAACGGCTCTTGAATTTCGCGGGATAGCTTCAACTCGCGGGCTCGCGCGATAGCAATTTACATGCTCGATTTTAGCCCTCTGTCCGGTTCTTGCTGCTCGCGAGTTTGGTGTACCTCACGGATGAGGTTCTGCGCGCGCGAAACGGGACCTGGCCTGCTCGCGAACTTGCTGTACCTCGCGGATGGGGTTTCGCGCCCGCGAAATGGGACCTGGTGGGGTGCTTGGTGGTTGCATTCTACAAGTTTGATTTTCCACTCCAAATTATCCAATCTTCTAATATGTCCGGCCACCTCAAAAACTCCAATGATCGAGCATCTAAGATGTCTCTTAAAACCCACGGCACTTCATCTCAACGTCAACAACTACATTAGGATAAGCCGCAAAAATTGTGCGATAAACATGGGTTTTTACCTTGCGAATTATAAGGCTCGAGGCTAAGTATTCATTCTAAAAAACCAACCGATTTCTAGCGTTACAAATGAATTATACGGTAGCCGCGAGCGCCGCTTTCTTCAATTTGGTTCGCCAACCACTCCCTCGCGCTTCCTTCTTGATCCATTTGAGGGCACCTTTGAGTGTGGATGGCCTATGATGGAGGCTAATCCATGTACGAATCTCTTCCCAAATCTCCGAGCTAAAGGTATATTCAAAAAATAGGTGACTCGAAGATTCATTCACAACTCCACATAGGGGACATATGGGGTCCTCATCTAGGAATTCGAGTCGATCCCTTGTTTTGAGCCGACTAAGTACCCCTAACCAAAGAATGAAGGAGTGTTTGAGGGTATTGCACGGGCCCCAAACAACTCCATTCCACGGCACCATATGTCCTCTAGGCCTTAGGTAGTCATAGCATTTGCTAGTCCCATCTTGACATTCCCGCGTTTTCCACCCTAGAAGAAGGCTCTCCGCGACCCGTTCGCTACCCGAATTTTTTACCAAGAGTTGCTGGATCTCAAAGAGGGTTTTGAAGAGGGGTGAGTCTTGCGGTTTAATTTCCCAATTCCAAATGGATTTACCTTTTAAATAAGTGCTATGTATCCATTTGTGCCACAAGGTATCCTTCTTTGCTTGCATGTTCCAAAGTGTCCGGGTGTGCAACGCTTGGTTCCACGCGTTCAAATCTCTAAGCCCCAAACCACCTTCCAAGCATGGTAAGCAGAGGCTATCCCAAGCCACAAGAGCGCTCTTGGAACCCCAAAGGAACCTTCTACATAGTTGGGTGATTTTGGTTCTAACTATGCCGGGCAAGTGGAAGATTCCCATCCAAAAGCCCACGATGCCTTGAATCACCGAGCGGAAGAGTTCCAGTCGTTCGGCATAGGAAAGAGTATGGCCATTCCACCCACTAAGTTGCCTTTCAATTTGCCCAATCATATCATCGAAGAGCCTACCCGTGATTCGGTCCGCGGAGAGGGGAACATCGAGATAACGGAAAGGCATAGATCCGCACTGAAGGTTGGTGTTGTCAATAATTGTAGCCCGATTATCATCCTTGACACCGGCCAAGTATATATTGTACTTTAATACATTCATCTCAAGCCCCGACTTGCCTCCAAAGTCTTTGAGGCAATCCATAAGAATCTGAATTGACGGGGGGTCAACACGTGATAGAAGCATGAGGTCATCGGTGAAGGCAAGATGCGAGATTTTTAATTGCTCGCACATCGGATGGTATTTGAAGTTCGTGTCATCCACCGTGTTAATATTTATAAGCCGGGTAAGGTATTCCATACAAATCACAAAGAGGAAGGAAGATAGGGGATCACCTTACCTTAGACCACGGCCTCCTTTGAAGTGACCCTTGAGGCTACCGTTAATAGAAATAGAGTAGGACGGAGTAGTGACGCATTCCATGACCCACTTTGTAAAGATCGGGGAGAAGCCAATCCCATCGAGCACTTGTTTCAGAAACGATCAAGAGATGGAGTCAAATGCTTTGCAGAGGTCAATTTTGATGGTGCATCTAGGGGAGACTCGTTTCCTCAGGTAGAGTAGGAGTAATTGTTGCATTAGGTGTATGTTGTCGGTCATTCTCCTCTCCTTCACGAAAGCGGCTTGAGCCTCGTTGATGATGGAGTCGAGGACTTCACTAACTCTCCTAGCAAGGATTTTGGAACAAATCTTGTAAGCCGTGTTGCAACACGCAATAGGCCGAAAGTCCATAACTTGCAAGGAGTGGGAGGACTTCGGAATAAGCGTGAGGGCCGTATGGTTCCATTGCTTGAGGAGAGAGCCGGTTCGGAAGAACTCTTGGATAGCCGCTACCACATCATCCCCAACGATGGCCCAACTCTTCAAAAAGAAAGTAGAGGTGTAGCCGTCCGGGCCGGGGGACTTATCACCCTCGATGTCTCCAAGAATGTTCTTGATCTCGTCCTCGGTGACCGGGGCGATGAGGGCATAACAATCATCCTCTCCAACACACGACCTCGACCGAAGGACTTGGGGGTCTACATCTTCCATTTGAACTCCGGTTCCCAAGAGATTCTCATAGTAGTGGACAAACTCTTTGGTAACTTCCTCTATGGAGCCGGTAATGGTGTCGTCTTCCCAGTTAATCGAGGTAATCAAATTCTGTTTTGTTCACTTTTTGACCAAGCCATGATAAAACTTGGTGCATTTATCACCCTTTATTTGAAAGTTGCATTTGGCCTTTTGTTGATAAAAGTTCTTCTCCGCTTTGGCCAATTTAAGAGCTTCGAGTCTAAGCGTGGGCATCTTGGCCTTGGTTTCGGGGTTGTCGGGTTGATCATGGAGCTCTTGTTGCGCAATCTTTAGGGCATTCTTCGCTTCTTTGGCCCGGGAAGAGATATGTGAAAAGGCCTCCTCGTTAAGAGCCTTAAGCGAACTTTTAAGATTCTTCAAATTAGCCGCAAGACGGAATTTCCTCGAGCCCCCGTGATGCAGACCCTAGTAAGATATTGTCCGCTTTGGGCTACTTCCGCCACCCGCACGACTTTGTTCTTGGCTGGGCTTCAATACACACCCACCAAAACGCGTCTTACTAGTGAAGGTATCCACACCCTCATATAAGGCCTGCTTCGTTTCCTTTCAAACCCGATGTGGGATGCGCTGCATCATCCACCCCCCCTTGTGGGCCCCGCGGTCACCGCTGGCACATGGGCTGGCTCTGATACCAACTGATGCAGACTCTAGTAAGATATTGTCCGCTTTGGGCTACTTCCGCCACCCGCACGGCTTTGTTCTTGGCTGGGCTTCAATACACACCCACCAAAACGCGTCTTACTAGTGAAGGTATCCACATCCTCATATAAGGCCTGCTTCGTTTCCTTTCAAACCCGATGTGGGATGCGCTGCATCATCGAAACCAGAAGAAATTATAATTTTATTAATGATCAACTAATGAAACTCTTGATAGGAGTACAATATATATAGGGAAAATCCCAAGTCTCCTATTCCTAATAGTATTCCTACTACCAACTGATGCAGCACGTGGTAGACAAAAGGGATATATGTTCTTGATGAGTTCAAGAAACCAGAAGAATATATAATTTTATTAATGATCAACTGATGAAACTCTTGATAGGAGTACAATATATATAGGAAAAATCCCAAGTGTCCTATTCCTAATAGTATTCCTACTAATTATCTTGTTAGGCAAGATAAGGATTTAATTTCCTAATAGTATTCCTACTAATTATCTTGTTAGGCAAGATAAAGATTTAATTTCCTAATTAAAGCAAACAACTAAAGAAACTAAATAAAAGATAATTAGGAAACAAATAACTAAATAATAAATAATAAATAATAATTATTTAGACGCAAAGACGGTCGTATTTCTCCAAAAATGCTAGCGCGGCCTCGTCTTCATCATCCTCCCCCGGTTGGGAAGGATTCACCCTCGAATCCGATCGGGCCTCGTCTTCCCCCAAGTTGTCGCCAGCAAAAGGCACCAAATGCTTGACGTTAAAAACGTCATGTGTGTGAATATGAGAAGAAAACCGCAGGCGATAGGCATTCGGGTTGATTTTCTCAACCACCTCCACAGGACCGATCTTCCGAGCAGAGAGCTTATTATACTCAGAAGCCGAGAAACGATCCTTCGTAAGTACCGCCCAGACAAAATCACCGACTTCGAACTCCACATAACGACGACGAACATCGGCCCGCCGCTTGTACGCGGTGGTGGTAGCCTCCAAACGAGCACGCGCCTGGTCATGTGTTGCCCGCAGGCCCTCTATCAGCTTGGCCGCACGGCGATCCTCCGAGCCCGGCGCTGGAAGAAGTACCAGATCCGAGGGCCCGCGGGGAACCGCCGCGTATACCACCTGAAAAGGCGCGAATCCCGTGGCCCGGCTGACCGCCGAGTTGTGAGCAAACTCCGCTTGAGGCAGGCGCTGGTCCCAAGTCCGAATATTATCCCCCATGAGGCAGCGAAGGAGATTACCCAAAGAACGATTGACCACCTCAGTCTGGCCATCCGTTTGGGGGTGATAAGCACTGCTAAAATCGAGCCTGGTGTTCGCCATACGCCACAGGCTCTTCCAAAAGTAACTCAGAAAGCGCGTATCCCGATCAGAAACAATGGCCGATGGTAGTCCATGTAGGCGATAGATCTCACAGAAAAATAACTGGGCGATATGCACAACATCCGTCGTGCGCTTGCATGGAATAAAGTGAACCATCTTCGAGAAACGGTCCACCATGACGAATATGGAATCGAAACCACGCTGGGTACGAGGAAGACCCAGGACGAAATCCATACTGATAGAAGACCATGGTCGGGTCGGAATAGGGAGGGGCCGATATAATTCGACGTTGCTCGCCACTCCCTTCGACACTTGGCATACACGACATCGCGCCACAAAACAAGTCACATCACGCCTCAAGCTCGGCCAAAAGTAGGACCGACCCACGAGCTCGACGGAGCGGTCGCGGCCTACGTGGCCCGCGCCATGCAGATCGGCGATTAGACGCAGCCGAAGACTCACGTCTGGAATGCACAAACGCGAACCCTTGAACAAAAAGCCATCTACCAGAGAATAATCATCGAAGGGTCCACGGGCAAGAGACATTAAAATGGGGCCAAAGAAAGAATGGGTCATCCGCATAAGCGTCCCGAAGAACATCAAAACCGACGACGGAGACCCACAGATCCGTGAGAAGCATCGTGCGCCTGCTCAAGGCATCCGCCACCCGATTCGACGCCCCCGATCGATGGCGAAGCACAAACGTGAACTGCTGTAGAAAAGCCGTCCACGAAGCATGACGTGTCGATATGTGATCCTGAGAAGCCAAGTGGCGCAACGCCTCATGATCTGAAAAAAGAACGAACTCTCGATGAAACAGATAGTGTCTCCAATGACGAACGGCACGCACGACTGCATAGAACTCCACATCATATGTGCTGTATCGAGTGCGCGGCCCTGTGAGCTTCTCGCTGAAAAACAAAACCGGGCGACCATCCTGGCTAAGGACGGCGCCGATCCCAACCTTCGACGCGTCACACGAAAGCTCGAAGGGGCAGTCAAAGTCGGGCAATGCAAGAACCGGGGCTGACGTTAACCGCGCCTTGATAAGCTCAAAAGCCTCCTCAGCGCGAGGCGTCCAAGAAAACACCTTCCCCGACATGCAATCAGTAATAGGGGCCATAATCGAGCTGAAATGATGAATAAAGCGTCTATAGAATGAGGCTAACCCGTGAAAGCTCCGTGCCTCAGTAAAAGACGTAGGCGAAGGCCAATCGCGAATAGCCGCCACCTTCGACTCGTCCACCCGAATGCCATCAGCAGAGATAAGGAATCCCAAGAAAATTACTGAGCTCACCAGAAACACACACTTCTTCGGGGCGGCATAGAAAGACTCCGCCCGAAGGATCCCCAAAATAGCCCGGACATTCCCCAAGTGCTCCTCAAGCGTCTGACTATAGATGAGAATGTCGTCGAAATAAACGACGACACACGTGCTAATCAAATCCCGGAGCGTCTGGTTCATGACGCGCATGAAAGTACTAGGGGCGTTAGATAAACCAAAAGGCATGACGAGCCACTCAAAAAGACCCTCACGAATCTTGAAGGCTGTCTTCCACTCATCCCCCGGCTTAATACGAATCTGGTAATACCCACTCCGAAGTTCCAACTTGGTGAAGATAGTGGCACCATGAAGTTGGTCGAGCAAGTCGTCCAAACGAGGGATCGGGAAGCAATAGCGCACCGTAATCCGATTAATCGCTCTGCTGTCGACACACATACGCCACGCCCCATCCTTCTTCGGAATGAGAAGGGCGGGGACCGCACACGAACTCAAGCTCCGACGTACGACCCCGCGCTGCAAAAGCTCCTCCACCTGACGGCGCAACTCCTCATGCTCAGCGGGACTCATACGATAATGAGGGCGATTGGGCAAGGAAGCCCTGGGCACAAGGTCTATATGGTGCTGGATATCCCGCAAAGGCGGCAACCCCGTGGGAAGCTCATCCGGAAAGACATCGGAAAACTCACCGAGTAGGGGCACAATACCCGCCGGTGGCTCTCAGTCATGCACAGAGTCGATGCCCAAGAGGACCAAGACGGTAGGGGCGCCGGTCATCTCCACCGCGAACGCGGCCCGGGACAACAACAAAACCGGCGAAGCCGGTGGTGGCTCGGACGGCGACACCACAGGCAAGGGACGAGCGGCACCCGGATGTAACACAATCCGAACACCTCCAAACAGAAAGCTATACGTATTGAGGCATCCGTCAAAAGTGACGCCCCGATCAAATTGCCATGGGCGACCCAACAACAAGTGGCAAGCATCCATCGGGACGACATCGCACCAAGCCTCATCACGATAACGCGGGCCAATCGAGAAACTCACCAACACCTGCTTATCCACAGTGACTGCACTCCCTTTCTGAATCCACGCAAGTGAATATGGCTGAGGGTGAGCCACAACCGGGAGGCGTAGCTTATCAACCGCCGTCTGCGCAATCACATTCTCGCATGCACCCGAGTCGATGATAAAAGTGCACACGCAATCTCCCACCGTGCATGTGGACTCAAAAATACGATGGCGTTCCAAAGGCTCCGAGACCGTATCCCGAGGTTCCAAACAAGCACGCCGCAGGACAAGAGCTCGTCCCACATCACCCGTATAATGCTCCTCCACAATCTCCGGCTCCTCGTCATAAACCGGCGGCCCATCGTACAACCCGCCCGACTCACCATAATCCTCTTCGGCAAACATGGCCCGCGAAGTGGACCCGCGCAGACACACACTCCGAATATGGCCCTGTTCGCCACACCCGAAACACTGCGGCCCCGTCCCGACGCGAGGACCACCCGACGCCGCTCCTGTTGAAGACGGACCCACCGTCCGCGGCGCACCCGTAGCCGACGCTGGCGGCCCAGAGGACGGCCCAGGCCCGACACTCCGACCCGTAGCTGGCGCCCCACGTCCAGGCGTCGTGAACCCCAAGGACCGCCTAGACTGTTGCTGCTCGATCATAAGGGCCCGTTGGTGTGCGTCGGAAAGAGAAGCCGGGATGAATAAATTCAGCGTGTCCTGGATTGACAAACGCAAACCCCCCACATAATGAGAAATAATCTGATCTTGGGTTACACGAATATCAACCCGAGTGAGCAAACGATAAAACTCCCCCGTATAGTCATCAACCGAACGTGGGCCTTGCCGTAAATTCTGGAGTTTCTGAAAGATAGTACGACGAAAATTAAACGGCAAAAACTCACGTTCAAGGTGCTTACGAAATTTCGCCCAGGAGGTGATCTTAGGCTTGCCCATGCGATGTCGCGCCGCCTTCAATTGATCGTACCAAGCCGCAGCCCGGTCCCGCAGTCGTGTGGCAATAAAGGCAACTCGGCGAGTGTCTGGGACATTCTTAAAGTCGAGAATAGAATCGACAACAACGATCCAGTCAAGGAACTCAAAGGCGTCGATACCGCCCGTGAATTCAGGTACCTCGACACGAAAAGAGGCCTCCCAGCGGCTCTCATCGCGGCCGCACCGCGCGGTCCGACCACCGTCCTCCTCGTTGAAGATCCCCTCCTCCATGCTGTACTCGCCATCGATGTCCTCGTACCGGGCCCGACGGTAACCGAAATGGTTCTCCGCCGTCGGGGTGTCGCTGTCTAGGCCGTGCGACGACCGTGGAGACCGCGAGCACGGCGCGCCCCCCCGGTCCCCTTTCGCCACGGCCGCCCCCTCTCCCGCTGCGACCACCCCGGTCTGTGGTGGTTCGGTTCGCCTGATCCCGTGCAAGCAGAGTCTGCATAGCCTGCCTGATTTCCTCGACCCCCTCGGACAGATCCGCAACACGATGATTCATCCCCTCCATCTGGAACCCAAGATCATCCGTACGGCGATCCAGATCGTCGAGGTGATGGTCACGGCGTTCATTGTCGTTCCGCTTTGGCGGCATCGTAGGATCGTTCCGACAGCTGATACCAACTGATGCAGCACGTGGTAGACAAAAGGGATATATGTTCTTGATGAGTTTAAGAAACCAGAAGAATATATAATTTTATTAATGATCAACTGATGAAACTCTTGATAGGAGTACAATATATATAGGGAAAATCCCAAGTCTCCTATTCCTAATAGTATTCCTACTAATTATCTTGTTAGGCAAGATAAAGATTTAATTTCCTAATAGTATTCCTACTAATTATCTTGTTAGGCAAGATAAATGTAACGCCTGTTCGATTTATAGAATTTCTCAGATTATTCTATTTATCGAATTTAAATTATGAGATTACATTTATTTTATTATTATGTGGATACTATAATTATATAGTTCGGATTTTGATTTTATCAATCGTCGTTGGAATTTTTGGTTTAATTGCGTAGGCCGAATTGTTGTTCGTTTGAATCCGTTTTAGAACCGTTGCGACCCGATCTTAGAAACGATTCAACCAGACTTTAAAACTATTATATTGTCAACTCTTTCATAGTATTTTCAGCCATCAAAACCAACATAAGAGTTAAAATCAAATTTTAGTAAAAGTATACGTTTTCGATTATAGTCGTATATTAAGTTCGATTTTGGTTCCGTAAATTTTATTTTCTCTCTCAATATTTTTAGTAAGCATCAAGAGCAAAGTTAGTAATTATTTTCAGCCATTTTTGAGCATAAAAACCGAATCAAAGAGGATCCATAACCATCCATAAGAGTGACATTATTTTACTTAGTCATATGTCACAAAAGTTGAATTTTTATAACCTCTTTGTCCTCTTCCATTGCTAATGTCCGGTTGTTCAACCCTCCCTACTTGCTTTTGTCCTCTATTATCACATGAGAGTCAACTCTTGCACATGTCATGAGATTCCAAGAAAAACATCATACCACCAAATCTTAAATTTTTTTTATACTTCATGATTGTTTCCATCCTTGTTTTATAGTTCTCTTAGTCCTCTATCTCTTCATTTCGTCCCCCATCAGCTAAGTAACAGATATTACAAGCCTTCCACCTCCTAAGACTTATTAAAAGTCATCCAAACTCCTCCCTCAAAGGCTGAAGCCGAGAGCAAGTTCAAGCATAGCCAAACCGAGCACATTTGTTTTTCTTGCGAGTTTTTGAGGGCTTTTAAGAGGTTGGTTTGCTAAACTATTTTAGAACTTGTTATTGATGAGATGAGGAGTTTATTTATATATAGTT